CTGACCACCGAAGAACTCCTAGCCCTTCAACAGGAACAGCAAGCCAACACAGCAGCGAATGATTCTGCAGTGGAGGAGGAGGTGGCAGCAGCACCAACAGCACCAGCGAGTGTCCCTTCTGCAATAATTAAGAAGGTGTGTCAGATGTGGGAAGAGATTCAAACAACTATTGAACATACTCACCCAGACAAAGCTGTAGTAGGCCGTTGTCTTAATCTTTTCAATGACAATGTGATGCCTTACTACAGAGAGAGCTTGCGAAGAAGGGAAAAGCAAGCTTCCATGGACAAATTTGTGGTGAGGAAATCGAGCAGTGAGCCTCAACCAGGACCTAGTGGCACTCAGGTTAAACGTCCCAGGGAGAGCACACCAGAAAGGTCCTCACTGCCTGATGTGATTATGGAAGGGGACTCCCCTTCCAAACAGTAACTCCTCTCCTCCTCCCCCCTCCTCACCATCTTCCATACGCCTACAGCACTCGACAGCAAGGTAAGTAATAACTGGAACATAGTTTTGTAGGTTTATTTAGATGAATTAGGTATAAAAATTTAGTTTGATGTGGGGTTTTTGGGGTAGTCAGGGACGGATTAATTCATTTCCCTTTATTTCTTATGGGGAAATTAACTTCGGAATGCGAGTTTTCGGAAGGCGAGGCGTCTCCAGGAACGGATTAAACTCGCATTCTGAGGTATGCCTGTACGTGCATAGGTGATATACTAAACATAATAGATACCCTTAAAAAGATTCATAGAAAACACCGACCTTACCTAACCTTGTTAGTATCTTAAGATAAGCATCTTATTGCTTCGTAATTACAATTATTACCTAACCTATAATAGGTATAGGTTAGGTAATAATTGTAATTACGAAGCAATAAGCAATAACACAATCTATTATGTTAAGTATGTCACCTATGCACATATTTAATAAGTCAATATTGACTTATTAAATTTGCGAGAACGGGTTGCGTAATGCAGCCTAACCTTAACACTGTTACTGTGAACATCTTGAGCAATAACGGCTGCCTAAACACCACTGCTGTATCCAAAGATAATTTGGAGCTCGGTTGTGTTCGGGAAATTATTGGCATATATTGTAAATATTATACATTCACTAACACGTGCATGGTCAAAAACTGGCACTCCATGGGATGTCTCGCTCTGAACGACTGCACCAAACAGTCGAGAACCTTCACCAAACTCTGAACCTTCAGCTATTGGGTGTGATACTAGAGATCAAGAGAGCACTCGTCTTGTACAATGCAGACCTTCTCCGAGAATGATCAGAGGGAGCTCAAAGCGAGATACTGAACTCGGACATCATTACTTAAGTTACAGGCATTCTCTTGGAGCACCAATCAAAATGCACTTTCAACCATACACACACACACACACACATTTGATTGGGTGAACTGTGGGGTTCACTAATGTGTCCGTGGGTGGGAGGAAAGGTGCACCAAAACAATTGGTGAAGGTCAGGTCACCTGTGACTTCTGCCACTACCTGCACCACTCGGCTACCTTGTGGTAGCAGGAACCCAGCCAGGAATATACTGGCAAGATGTATAACTGCCATCTGTTAACCCTCAAACCGCTAGGGGCCCAAATGGAATTCACACCCACAGGCACAACAAAAAAAAATCCAAAAAATTCTTTCGTCTTATAGAAGTGTTCATTTTTGTTCCCTGATCACGGAAAAAATAACAAAAAAATCGTAGGTGGCATATTTTAGCCGCAATAGGGTAGGGAAGTGTGGCAAAAAAGGGGCGTTGGCAGAGCCTTCTCCAGACGAGGTCTACTCCGCCCGAGCTGTCAGACGGCAGTTGCCACAAATATATTATTACCTAATTATTTCAATGTCTCTGATTGATTTTTTCTTAGTTTTTTGCAGTAATATTATTCCATACAGTGAATTGTGGTATATTTATATTATAAAATGTGTGAACCATCGCTGTACTCAAAATTATGGTGTGCATATTAGTGATTCAATTAATATGTTCATAAAACAATAAACAAATAGTTTTGCTGTTGTTACACTATATACACAGGTTATATATAAGTATTTGCATGTTTTGTACACCATAACAAACTACTAAGTTGTTGCTTTTTGACTCACAAGACCGAGGAGTGACCGCCAAACACCAGCGAGCCACTCACTGCCACTCCCTCCCTCAACACCACCTCACTCACCCTCATTCACCTCCCACAATACTCTTCCTGTATTTATTCACTATACACAGATGTTATATATATGTATTTACATGTTTTGTTCACCATAACTGTACATCTAAGCTTGTATGGTGAGTAAGGCCATAAGACGTAGCTACTCACACAGTCAGCTGATCGGCGGTCGCCCTCAAGGCCAGACGCACTAATATTTGTCCTCCAACAATATTTTGTGGTGTTATTACGCTATATACACACATTATATATAAGTATCTACCTGTTTTATTCACCATACCTGAACAAATAAGCTGGTATGGTGCCCAAAGACCATAGTGGCCATCAGTAAACAACATGCCAAGTCGTGCAGACGACGCTCCTCCCTCACCAAAATGGCGGCTCCCAACCTACTCATCTCGCTGTTATTTCACACTATACACACGTTATATATAAGTATCTACATTTGTGTTCACTATATCGAACCACTAAGCTGGTATGGTGAGTGCAGTTAATAAATGGTGGCCACACACAGTCAGAAAACGACGCCACAACCCTCCCTCCCACAGCCTTACTCCTCCCTCCATGGAGTACAGCGCTAAATATCACCACAATCCTGCTATTATCAGAATCCTGGTCAGTTTTATCACAGTCAGGGGGCTTCAGTAATACTATCACTGCTAAATAATAGCAGTATCATTTATATTATGGTATTTGTAGGCGATGCTGTGGTCACAAGCTGAACAGCGGTGCTGTGAGCTCGTGCTGCGTGCGCCAGCCTTGGTGGCTTGCTCAATACTGACGCTCAATACTAACACCCAAGAATGTTAGCCTGGATTTTTTTTCTGGGTGGCATCTGGCAACTATCGGTCGTGGCTGTACTATAGCTGCCCCTCTCCCAGGCGGGGCGTTTAAATTATAGCGCTAGACACGAAATCGTATATAAATGATGTGCGCGGTTTCGGTTTTGTCACTGATATCATTTATATATGATATGCGCGGTTTGAGGGTTAATACAACCCGCCGTCATATGTCACCACACGCACAAGAACTGAACTGCTTGAGCAATCCCCAATCCATAGACACCTTACAAGAGGCACTTGTGTCCTTAGATAAAGGTGATAATCAATGCTAAGTGCACAGCACTGCTCAGCACTGCAGCCTTGGGGTACAAGTCTAGCTAAGAGAATACCATTCTCTCTCAGATGTGAACAAATATGACTTGTGAAGAGGCTTGCGTGCAGGATATACACACACAATAAAAGCAAGAGAAAAAGAATCAAAAGTTTTATTGCAAGACTTGCTGTGTGCTACAATGCTGTGTGTTGCCAGTATTTATGCCTTGGCAGAAATAAAAATTGGCAAGCAGATTAGCGATTCCCACCCAAATATCCTCTGCCATATAACATCCAAGAGAACAACCTTCAACATCAACCTCTACATTGACAATGGCATATTGATACATCATAGAAGCTCGACAATATCGGTTAGTAATTACAGTGCCCTTAACATTTCTTTCAAAATATACCTTGTTAATACATAGGTTTTGTGGACAGTTTTACACAGTGTGTGTGTGTGTGTGTAGACTATTTAGATAAGTTTTAGGCACTTAGTAAAAGCCATATCCATTTTGTTGTTGTATCACAATAGAGGATACAGTGGAACACATTAAGGAAAAACATGAACTGGCATCAGTAATGGTCTTGCATACAAATTATTTGTAAGCATTTATGAGCAGCATGATGAGTTGGCAAACACTTTGGTTTATGTTAATTTTGACCTATGAAACGTTATAAATTTTTTATATTTTTGTTCCGTGTTGAATACAATTCAGTTGTCTTTCCTGGTGGGTTCTTGATAGCTTGGGGTATCTTACTGTGTTGTGGCATGACCCTGAGAAGTGGTGCAAGCTTGCGAGGTCTGCACTGACCTACCGAGAGCCAGGACCAGTCTGGCTCTTGGTGAGGCTTGTGCTGACCTACCGAGAGCCAGGACCAGTCTGGCTCTCAGCAAGGCCCATGCTGACCTACCTAGAGCCAGGACCAGTCTGGCTCTCAGCGAGGCCCGCGCTGACCTACCTAGAGCCAGGACCAGTCTGGCTCTCAGCGAGACCCGCGCTGACCTACCTAGAGCCAGGACCAGTCTGGCTCTCAGCGAGGCCCGCGCTGACCTACCTAGAGCCAGGACCAGTCTGGCTCTCAGCGAGGCCCGCGTTGACCTACCTAGAGCCAGGACCAGTCTGGCTCTCAGCGAGGCCCGCGCTGACCTACCTAGAGCCAGGACCAGTCTGGCTCTCAGCGAGGCCCGCGCTGACCTACCTAGAGCCAGGACCAGTCTGGCTCTTGGCGAGGCCCGCGCTGACTTACCTAGAGCCAGGACCAGTCTGGCTCTCGGCGAGGCCTGTGTTGACCTACCTAGAGCCAGGACCAGTCTGGCTCTCAGCGAGGCCCGCGCTGACCTACCTAGAGCCAGGACCAGTCTGGCTCTCAGCGAGGCCCGCGCTGACCTACCTAGAGCCAGGACCAGTCTGGCTCTCATCGAGGCCCGCGCTGACCTACCTAGAGCCAGGACCAGTCTGGCTCTCAGCGAGGCCCGCGCTGACCTACCTAGAGCCAGGACCAGTCTGGCTCTCAGCGAGGCAAGACTGACCCAAAACCCCAAACTTGAGAGTTGGCCGTGTTAAACCTCAAAACATTTTATTTTGTGTAGGAAGTGATCTGCCCCAGGTCCCATTAAGCAGAACTAAATCTTTTATATTGTACTAAATTATACTATGTTTAGGTTATTAAACAATTGCTATCTTAGTGGAATTATATAACGTGTGTTGCTCTCTCCAATCCAGGAAAATAAAAAGCTGAGTCGCCGCAAGACGAAGCGTACATCTCCTGTGAGCGAGAGGGACATGGACGATATATTCATAAAAGAATTATGTTATGTCCGCATGCAGACAGAAATAAAGGAACACCTTTGGAAAAAAGAAGAAAATAAAAGAAGAGCTTTCTTATGGGTATGTATTTTTCTCATTGATGTAATGGTGCATAATTTTGTAATATAATGTCTGCATATATGTTCTGCTGTAAGGGCAAGACTAGACTCATTCCAACCGAAAACACCTGGAATTGTCATTTAACAAAGCTCGAGCCTATGTAATTTTTACCGGGCATCAGAGACTGCCAAGGAGTGCTCTTGTCCCCCCCCCCACTATCCTCAACAGCTACTAGGTGGTCAACCTGTCCTCTTAAAATGTCACTTTTGGCCATTTGCCCGTATGGCCGAAAGTGGACGTAATTTGAAAATTAAAAAAATTGAAAATAAATTTGGGATTATTTTTTTTAACAACAGTAAATTAAGGGTCCTCAGAAGTTAGGTGGGCAGGAAATTCTCATAAAGTTTCAAAACGTTATGAAAAACGTGAATTGAAAGTTTCTTCTCCTAACCTGTCCGAGGAGGGCCGGACGACTCGAACAAAAAACGGAACAGTACGTCACTTTTGTGAGTCGATTTAATTTCAAATTACGTCCAAATTTGGCCATAGTGCGCATACGAGCCAAAAGTGACGTTATTTTTAAGAGGACGGATTGAGGTGGTAGCACCTTGATCTCAACAGGGCAGCCTGACTCTGCCTACCTCAAATTCCTCCCGATAGTTTTCATGTGCACTTCAGACTGGCAAAAACCAAAATGGTTCAATTAAAGCTTTACAAGTGTGTTGGTGTGGTGCCCCCACCCATGCAAAGATGCCTACTACCTTCCACCCCTCAGAACCACCTATGCTCTCTCCTCTTCTGCAGTAGAATCTGGATTTGGTTTCCTTCTAGAAGTGGCAATCTGTCCTTAGAAACTTGTTAGGCTGCTGAGTAAGCTTAGGCTATTAGTGGTCAATTATCATGCAAATTCACAAAGTTATGGTGTGTGATTTTGTAACCAGCTACGTTTCCAGACGTGTCGCCTCCGTTTATTTTCCCAGTGAGCCTGTTTTCGTGCCTGCACTGTAATCCTTTCTGGTAAGGGCTTGCAGGCTCTGCCCATGTTTGGGTAATACTCAATGGGGGCCCTTTGTCACCATTTTGCTCACCCATTCCCTGATTGCCTGATGCATCTGTTCCTCTCTTGTTGTAAATTATAGTTGGCTCTTTGATGGCCATTATAATAATTTTTTTTGTTTTGATGACATTTTGTTATTTTCAGGCTAAAGCCACACACCAGCTACTGGAGTGCCGATGTTGTTACGATGATGAGGTGCTCGAGGAGGACATGGACACTTGTAATGCTCCAGGCAGCAAGCACAAGTTTTGTATCAATTGCATCAGAAGGTAAATAAGCATGGAGACTGCTGGTTATATATTGCATGAATTGCATTAGAAGGTAAATAAGCATGGAGACTGCTGGTTATATATATTGCATGAATTGTGTCGGAAGGTAAATTAAAATGAGTCTCGATACCTGCGGTAATATTGGTAACGATAAATTATTAGTAAAGACCGTCTTTAAACAATAGAATATGTTCTACAATATATGATGCTGAGAATGTTGGATACAGCCTGAGTGTGTACACAAAGGCACGGATCGTAAGATTTCAGTAACGTAAATAATTTTTGCAATGTTCTGTATAACATTTTCTTATTCTCTTAATGTCGTGTTTGTCCAAGTTACCTTGCATTAATTACCTCGTGTTTGTTCCGAGGATTAGCACTCCCACAATGTGGTCTGGCCATGCGTCCTAGTTGGTGGTCTGGTCAACCAGGCTGTTAGGTGCAGCTGCTTACCCTGACTTGTGAATCACAGCTCAGTTGAGGTGGCCACACAGTTAGTAAACGATGCTTCTCCCTCCGTCTCTCAGCATCACTCCTCCCACAGCGCTAATTATTACAACAATCCTGCTATTATCACAACCCTGGTTATTTATATCACAGTCATGGGTCATCTGTAATACTGTATTGTCATCGCTAAATAATAACAATTATATATTTATTTTGACATTTTTCGGCGATGCTGTGGTCACAAGCTGAACATCAATGCTGTTCGCTCATGCTGCGTGCGCCGGCCTTGGTTGCTCCAACAGTACTGTGCCTCTCACACCTGAGAATATTGCCCACGATTTTTTTTCAAAATGGCATCTGTTTACAAGAGCCCTGAGGAAGCTACTGTGAACCCCGTGTAGCCGCGGGCCATTTGAATCAGGCCTGGCACCCTATGGCGTATATATACGCCATGCGCACCATGGGACATGTTACTCAGGGCGTATATATACGCCATGCGCAGTTTAAGGGTTAACGTGGTCATATCAAAATGTGGCAATGAGTGATGAAAGATGCAAAAATTGAAATGCAAGCCTCAATGTTACTAATGATGTCACCTAAGGATGCATCATATGGCAAAGTACAATAGATTGTTTCAGCAGATATCGGAGCCAACGAGAAATGAAAATATTCTAGATCTGGTCTTTACGAACAATGAAGACATTATCAGAGACATTACGATATCAGATACCACATACTCAGATCACAAACTTCATTGAAGTGCAAACGACCATCAATACTCAGAATAGACCTAAAACGTTGATAAAGCGAGAGGGGCTATTCAGTAAATTCCATTTTAATAATAAAAGGATAGACTGGGAGATAATAAACAGGGAACTTACAAACATTCCATGGGGAACTGTTCTAAATACAAGTCCTACAGAAGGAATAGAAAAACCGACTTCAGAAGCGTATCAAGTCTGTCTGAAACATGTTCCTTTGAGGAAAGCCAGAAAGAGATCTAACGTAGAAAGAGAACGCAGACGACACTATAAACGCAGGAAAAAAATAACGGAACTGCTTATGCAGACACGAATTTCCCGTCAAAGAAGGAATAATTTAAATAGGGAGATTGAAGAAATCGAGCGGAAATTGAAACACTCATATGAAACTGAAGAAAGGCAGTTAGAACAGAAAGCAATTCAGGAAATAAAGAAAAATCCAAAATATTTCTTCACATATGCGAAATCAAAAGCAAAAACCACTGCCAGTATTGGACCTATTCGTACAAGTGAAGGTTCATACACGGAGGATGACAAAGAAATTAGTGAAATCCTAAAAAAGCAGTATGAGGACATGTTTAGCACTCCAATAAACAACATGAAGGTGGAAGATCCAGACAATTTCTTTATGCGGGATATTCAAACCCCTGTAAATATAACTGATATAAACACGAGCGCACTAAATTTTGAAAAAGAAATTGAAAACATGCCCATGCACTCGGCCCCAGGTCCAGACTCATGGAATTCAATATTTATAAAGAAATGCAAAGTGCCGGTAGCACAGGCACTCAGTATAGTGTGGAGGAAGAGCTTGGACACGGGGGAGATACCGGATGCACTTAAAGTAGCAGACATAGCCCCTCTACACAAGGGAGGGAGCAAAGCATTGGCAAAAAATTATAGACCAGTTGCACTAACATCGCACATCATAAAAGTATTTGAGAGAGTGATTAGGAGTCAGGTCACCAATTTCATGGAGACCAATGACCTTCACAACCCAGGCCAACATGGATTTCGAGCGGGAAGATCACGCCTCTCACAGCTGCTTGAGCACTACGACAAAGTCACTGAGGTATTAGAAGAAAAACAGAATGCTGATGTGATATACACGGACTTCGCAAAGGCATTCGATAAATGTGACCATGGCGTGATAGCACACAAAATGAAGTCAATGGGAATAACCGGTAAAGTAGGACGCTGGATACTCAGTTTTCTGTCAAACAGGACTCTGCGAGTAATGGTCAACCATATAAAATCTAGTCCAAGTGCAGTGAAAAGCTCTGTACCTCAGGGTACAGTCCTTGCACCGCTGCTTTTCCTTATTCTCATATCAGATATAGACAAAAATACAAGTCACAGCTTCGTATCATCCTTTGCAGATGACACAAAAATCAGTATGAAAATTACCTCGACTGAGGACATTGGAAAAACTTCAAGCTGATATTAATAAAGTTTTCGACTGGGCATCAGGAAATAACATGATGTTTAACAGTGATAAATTCCAGGTACTCAGGTACGGTAAAAATGAGGACCTTAAACATAATACAGAGTACAAAACACAATCAAATGTACCCATAGTAGGAAAACAGCATGTAAAGGATTTGGGAATAATAATGTCTGACGACCTAACGTTTAAGGAGCATAACCAAGCAAATATTGTGACAGCCAGAAAAATGATAGGATGGATTACGAGAACTTTCAAATCCAGGGATCCCATCACAATGGTTGTACTCAAGTCACTTGTGTTGTCCCGTCTTGAGTACTGCTCAGTACTCACTTCCCCCTTCAGAGCAGGAGAGATTGCTGAAATAGAGGGAATACAGAGAACATATACGGCACGCATAGAAGCAATAAAGCACCTAAATTATTGGGATCGTCTTGAAGCCCTCCAAATGTACTCACTAGAAAGAAGACGAGAGAGATATCAAATAATATACACCTGGAAGATACTGGAGGGCCAAGTACCAAATCTACACAGTAAAATAACAACGTACTGGAGTGAACGACATGGAAGAAAATGTAGAATAGAACCAATGAAGAGCAGAGGTGCCATAGGCACAATCAGAGAACACTGTATAAACATCAGAGGTCCGCGGTTGTTCAACGTCCTCCCAGCAAGCATAAGAAATATTGCCGGAACAACCGTGGACATTTTCAAGAGGAAACTAGATTTATTCCTCCAAGGAGTGCCGGACCAACCGGGCTGTGGTGGGTATGTGGGCCTGCGGGCCGCTCCAAGCAACAGCCTGGTGGACCAAACTCTCACAAGTCTAGCCTGGCCTCGGGCCGGGCTTGGGGAGTAGAAGAACTCCCAGAACCCCATCAACCAGGTAATCAACCAGTTATCCCGCAGAAAATGGGGATGTGTTGGAAAGTCCTAAATAGGGCTGATAAAACCTGTAGTAATTAATAAGTAAAAGATCAGTGGAGGGGAAAATTGGTTTGGGGAGTATTTACATTGATGTTGATCTGACACTAATATAGGTTGAATGTTGTTCCAAATTGTTTATGTACATAGACTCTGGATATAGACTCTGCCTTTTCCCCGAGGATCAATGAAGAAGACTTGCCATTCCTTGTGGTGAACATCGCATTAGAAACATAGACAAGATTTTTGTTATTTACAAGTACTATAATCACAATTATTGGTAGTTAGGCAAGTTAATGAATTGATAGATATGGCAGATAATGTTTCACTTTGGCATCATGCCACTGAATGATGCCCAAGCTTAGTTTCACTACAAGCTGAATGAAAGCATGTTTCACTAAAAGCTTTATTGCTTGAAGTCTCCCTCGTGTGCAATGATTTTACTAAAATAAAAATTCTTTACCTCATCTTAAAAACTATCTTTATGTCCTCCTTAGGTTTGCAGAAGAGGAGATAGGCCAAGGTCGGACAAGCTTTCGATGTTTAGAGGGTGAATGTAAAGCTGAATTTTCTCTCGCCACTCTGAAGAAAGTCATGATGCCGTCAATTTTTTCCAACATCCTGGAACGGAAACAACTGGAAGAAATTGCCGCAGCAGGAATTGAAGACTTGGTAGCTTGTCCATTTTGCAACTTCCAGACCATCATGCCAAACAAAGAGGACAAAGTGTTCAAGTGTCTCAATCCTGAATGTATGAAGGATTCTTGCAGGTAATTACTGATTGCATTAATGATGAGTGTTATATTTAAGTATATTATATAGGGGAAGGGAGTACCACCTCTGGCTGGAAGAAGGGGGACCCTTAGCCTCGGAGGAAACCACACATAACGCATTGGAGGGAATGTAGGTCCCCTCCAATACAATTTCTGTTTGCTTGACTCCTACCACACCCCGTTTTTTTTTTTTTTAAGTTGTCCCACCCTTTCTTCCTTGCTTAAAGTTGTGTAATTTTATTATGACATATGATATTATTGTACATGTTTATTTTGCTTGTACCGTGAAAGTGCACTTATCGTACATTTTTTCTTCACGGGGTAATGTGGTCATCTTACGTTAAGTTTAGATGCTATTGTCAGGGTTTTGATACCTATGGATATAATGACTTTAATATGAATGTAGTGGAGCTTAACTAAACCCATAAAATAAAAAATCATGCTATTGTTTCATGATTTCTTGCTATGCAAATGTGATTATCATATACTGTACGTTACTATGCCGGCAATCATCATGGTTTAAGGACTCCTTGGGGCGATATGACTTGCAGGCAGCGCAAGAGGGAGCAACTGAGCCTACCCCAGGAAGAGGTTTAATTACATTGAATGCGGCTGTTAGTTTTGTTTTGTTTTTAAATGCATACAACTCGTGCCAGTTTGCTCGCACTACATTGTAACTTGTTCTCTTGCCTCTTGATTCTTTGTGAAGATCCAAGATATGATCTATGTATATTTAATTTTCTCTATGTACCTGTTATAAATGTTTATCAGTATATAATAAGTAAATATAAATACAATTTTGGTACTAGTATATATTTACAACAGTAATTAAAGAAAGTTCGGTATACATAATTGTAAATTCTTTGGTTTAAAATACAGTGTATAGATTGATTGTATTTCATTAATGTAATATTTCTATTTTCACTTCACTGCAGATTTTGTAAAGAACCCAATCATGTCCCATTGAGATGCGAGGAAGTTGAAAAACAGCATCAAAAAGATGCTCGAACCTACATGGAGAACCGCATGACGGAAGCAATGGTCAGGTATGTGTTTTTAATTAAGAAATATGTGAAAATCCATAGGAGCCGTGATGAGGATTCGAACCTATGCACGGGATATTCCCAGGCACACGCCCCTGACAACTAGGTCACGACAAGATTTCTGTGCAAGAAATGTGTATTGGCATTTAATGCATTACTTCTATGTACAATTTGACTTTATACTGTACTTGGTACAATTTAAAATTATGAATTTTTTGTATACACAAAACTGAAAGTTTCTTGTTAGAATTGGTACAGGGGTACCTCAGTTTAAGAGTTTAATTCGTTCCTGGAGACGGCTCGTATTCCGAAAACTCGTATTCCGAAGCTAATTTCCCCATAAGAAATAATGGGAAATGAATTAATCCGTTCCTGACTACCCCAAAAACCCCACATCAAACTAAATTTTTATACCTAATTCATCTAAATAAACCTACAAAACTATGTTCAAGTTATTACTTACCCTTGTTGTTAAATGCTGTAGGCATATGGAAGATGGTGAGGAGAGAGGAGGAGTTACTGTTTGGAAGGGGAGTCCCCTTCCATTATCACATCAGGCAGTGAGGACCTTTCTGGTGTGCTCTCCCTGGCACGTTTTATCTGAGTGTTACTAGGTCGTGGTTGAGGCTCACTGCTCGATTTTCAACTTTGTAGTTCTTCCCATACTTCACACATTTTCTTAATCAAGAAGGGACATCCTCTACTGCCTCTACTCACAGCTATTTTCTTAGGTTGAACCTTATCAATGGCTTTCTTGAGACCCATGGTGAGAACTATAACAACTTTTATGCTCAAATGGCCAAAAAAACCGACATAAAACTGTAAATCCTTGTGAAGAATTCAGGAGGGATAGTCACTGGGCGGGAGACAATGGTAAACTGAGGGGCTGAGGGGTGTCGATCACCGTACCACCACGCGCTAGGTCGGCCTGAACGCGTATCAACAAACTCGCATTCCGAGGTAACCCTCGCCTTCCGAGACATATTTTCCGAGGAAATCCTGCTCGTATTCCGAAAAACTCGCATACAGGGACACTCGTGTTCCGAGGTACCACTGTATATATAAAATATGTAATGTGGAGCTTAATGTCTCCTTAGTTCTAAATGCTGGTAGTATTTAAAACCAATTAATTTGTATTAATGTTAGGGGTTTGATATTGGTTAATTACTCTGCAACTATTGTATTAAATGTGACAACTACTCAAAATACAAGAATTTGAGAAACTGCAGAATGCCTATTGGTCCATACAAGGCAGCTCCTAATTACATTGCAGGAAGTAGTCTAAATGAAAAATCCTACAAAGGACCTCTCAAGAGTTTGTGACACTTTAATTAAACCACCAAATAGTTGAATTAACTAGAAAGGAAAACACCCTAGATCATATTTTAAATTGTTGATGAGGACCTGCCATACTTCCTTGCAAGATCAATCACACAGACACCACACTCGTGCTTTGATATAATTTCCTTCTTTAAATCCACAGTAATTGTCTTTCTTCCTCTTGACAACACTATCTTTAGCAAGCAGCTTCTTTGGAGACATCGTGTGTTACAAATTGTAGTCGCAAAACCACTAAAAACCCAAAGAAAAGCTCAAATAAATCCATAGGGATGCTTGTCGTGTGAGATACAACAACAACACTGGTGTCAGAGGCGTCCAAGAATTTGCGAGAACCCGCGAGACGCTAGGAAGCGCCATGTGGTTTCACTCGTTAATAGAGGCGAGCTCGTCAATAGACAAATTTGCTGCGAGTAGCTTGCTCGTTACTGGAAAAACTCGTTAATAGAGCCACTCGTTAATAGAGGTTCCACTGTAAAGATGAACTGATGCATCAATCCTAAACTGTTTGCCCATGTTCTCCCAGCAATTATTGGGTACCCGGTTGTTAACTGATTGACAGGCCATGTTCCAGGGGAAACTATGGTTACTAGACTTACTATGAACTATGGGAAGGGAAATGCTCTTGACCTTGTTATAGGAGTCGGAAGTTGTCCGTTTCTATACCCATTTTGAGAAGAAAAGACAAAAATCAGACGTGTTACTCGGATCACAAGCCGGTCAAAGTTCAGATATGCAGATCTATTGCCCATACTTAACTAGTCTCAAATCCATGATTAGGAGAATTCTGTAAATGATTTCAGTAGTAAATTTATTAACTGGGAACTGGGAACCACAACCTCTGAAAAATAAACCTGTAAGAACAGTTGAATAATGCTAACCAAGTTGGCGCCTTGAGAGAGTAAGCAGAGCGGCACTAAATACAGTACAGCTTATGATATAAAAAAAAGAAAAAGAATATGGAAAGATAAGAACTCGCTCATTAGGTGAAGAAAACAAACTGAAGAATGCTTAAATGCCTCGCCCACTCCAGAAGACTACAAGGAGAGAAATAGAAGTGACTGAATAAAAGTACAAGTGTTGTATAAAGCCCAGGAGAAACAGACCAAAAGGTGTTCTTTGAAACTGAGAGGAGCACAAAGTATTTCATCTCGCTTGTAAAGTTTAGAGCCAAACTTGCCGCTAGTATTAAGCCGTGGTTCACGGAAGATGGAACTTTCACCGATGATGACAAATTTGTATAATAGTGTATTGAAGGATACAATACAACCGTGTTTAGTGAATCCCCAAACACTGCCTTCTGTCCTGCCGTCCTTCCCTTTCTTCCATTTTTTACTTCCATCCTTCCCTCCCTTCCTACTACTATCGTCCTTCTTTCCTTCCTGCTACTTCCTTCTTTCCCACTACTTCCTTCTTTCCCACTATTCCCTTCTTTCCCACTACTTCCTTCCTGCTACTTCCTTCTTTCCTACCACTTCTTTCCTACCACTTCTTTCCTTCCTTCCTACTATTTCCTTATGTCCTTCCTTCCTACCGTCCTTTTTCTGCCTTCTTTTATCCTTTCTCCTTTTTCTTTTCCTTTTTCTTTTTCCTTTTTCCTTTCTCCTTTTCCTTTTTTTCTTTTTTTTCCTTTTTCCTTTTCCTTTCACCTTTTTTTCTTTTTCCTTTCTCCTTTTTTTCTTCTATTTTTCTTTTTTCCTCCTTTTTCCTTTTTCCCTCCTTTTTTCTTTCCTTTTTTCTTGTTTCCCTTCCTTTTTTCTTTTTTCCTTTTCTTTTTTTCCCTTCTTTTTTTCCTTTTTCCTTCCTTTTTTCTTTTTTTTCTTCATTTTTTCCCTTTTTTTCCTTTTTTCTTTTTCCCTTTTATTTTTTTTCCATCTTCCTTTTTCCTTTTTTTCTTTTTTCCTTCTCTTTTCCTTTTTTCTTTTTTTCCTTCTTTTTCCTTTTTTCCTTTTTCTCCTTTTTTTTCCCTTCATTTTTTCTTTTTCCCTTTTTTCCTTTTTTTTCCCTTCCTTATTTTTTTCTTTTTTCCTTTTCTTTTTCTTACTTTTTTCCTTTTTTTTCCCCTTTATTTTCCTTTTTTTCTTCTTTTTTTCCTGCTTCCTTTTTTCTTTGTTCCCTTTTTCCTTTCATTTTTTCTTTTTCCTTCCTTTTTTTTCTTCCTTTTTTCCTTCCTTTTTTCCTTCCTTTTTTCCTTCATTTTTTTCCTTTTTCCTTCCCTTTTTTTCCCTTTTTTTCCTTTTTTTCCTCCTTTTCTTTTTTTCCTTTTTTCTTTTTTTCCTTCTTGCTCTCTGGGTGCAATTCCTGCTTGACTGACAGAGAGGGTGAAGTCAGTCAAGGTGGATACACAAGTATAGTGCCATGCTAATTACTCACCATTTGTGCCTTGGGCATAGTGTGATTGCATCAGGTTGACCATCAAAGCCAGCTGACTTACTGTTCCTTAGATTTTGAGGCTCTCTCTATTATGGACACTGGACAGAGTGAAGATTCCTCTTAATATTGACAGCGACTTAACCATATTTTGCGTGCAAGCTGCCTGGTTTTCCATAGTTCAGGGCATGCAGTCCCTATTTGTCTGGATCTGCCTCCCCCCAAGTATATCGTGTACGGGCTTCGGGCAGGAAGGCAGAGGGCGGCTGCGGATAAAGACGTGTGCCTGTCGCAGACATGGGGACTGCCAAAAGGAAGTCCCATTTTTGGGATTTACTAAAGGGAAAGCTGTGTTACTGCACAGCTGTGAGGCACACACAATCACTTGAGGTTGTTGCTGCTGCCTCCAGCACAGCTGTGACTTTTGTCTATGATGGGGTTCTGTTTGTTGGCTTTCAGTAGGGTTGGCCCGAGTGCTGGTATGTCATACCGAGTGTTGGTATGTCATTTTGTGTTGCTTGGCAAGGGTGGTGGGAGGATATAATCATCATCATGAATGCAGGCGATGAGTCACAATAACGGGGCTGAAGTATGTTGACCAGACCCCACACTAGAAGTTGAAGGGACGACGACGTTTCGGTCTGTCCTGGACCATTCTCAAGTAGATTGTGAGAATGGTCCAGGACGGACCGAAACGTCGTCGTCCCTTCAACTTCTAGTGTGTGGTCTGGTCAACAATCATCATGAATTAATGGCTTAGTTTTTACTAGTTTTTACACATGTTTTCTTATGATTTTAAGTAGTGTTTGAAGATTTACTTACTCAGTACAGTACATGTAATTGTAATATGCATTGAAATAACTTTGAATTTGTAATGCATTGCAGAGAATGTTGGAAATGCAAAAAGAGATTCATCAAAGAGGACGGGTGTAATAAGATGCGTTGCTCTTGTGGAGCAATGATGTGTTACATATGCAAGAAGCAGATTAATGGCTATGCTCACTTTGAGGATAAACTTGTTCCAACAGACCCAACCAAGTAAGTTTGTTTTGTATTAAGGAGAAGATAACTTAATCCTTAAAATGTGGGCACCACGACTATCGTGTATTTTAATATATTAGATGCAAGAGGGAATACTAAAATAGTTTTCTGGATATACCAGGCATTATTTTTCTGTTGTAGAGAACTTTTGTAATACATTAAGTGTTAACAAACTCAAAAGATATTTAGGGGAATAGGCAAAATAAATATAGACTTTGATACGATTGTGAACAGTTAAGACGTTTAAACTCCATAGAAAGTGGGACTGTAATGTAGGAGACAGGTGTTTGTATTGAATTATTTAGAATGTGCTTTGACTAGACATGACATTACAAACTGCAGAAATCATTTCCATGTACTGCAAGAAACTGGTACCAGCTGGTGAATGGTTGTATTTGTGTACTTGGTAGGTGTCCCCTCTGGAGTAACTCTGAGAAGATCCACGCAGAAGAGGTGCGGGATGTTGCCGATAGGTTGAAGCAAGAGATGGATCCTAATTTGGAGCTCGTTCATAACCCTTTGGATGACCTGCCTGAAGTAAGAGTTCAATGACTTTTATATTATTTTAAATATTTATTTTAGCATTATCCTTATTATAAAAGGCAAGTGTTTTGTTGCTCCCAAACAAAACAGTAGTTTTAGATTGGAAGAAAATAAACGAGAGAAAAAATGCTGCCTGCGTTTAACTCCCTAAATGTGTGGGCTTGTATCGCTGCATTGTCTGTCATGCTAAAAAAAAAATTTTTTTTTTTTTTAACTTTTAATACTTTTAATTACCATTCAGTGGGTATGGATATTTTAGTAAAGTGTGTACTTACCGCGGTGTCGATGTGGTGGCCTGGAAAAGTTTGGTGGATTTGGTGGGTGAGTCGCCCGCTGGTCATCTGTGGTTACCGGCTGGCGGATGATGTGGAGGGGCGCCGTGTAGCAAAAACTCCTCCCATGTTTTCTTATTGTTGTATACTCTATTGATTTGTTGTTTATTTTTCACTTGGATGTTGTATTAGTGTATGAACATTGTCTGTAAATGTTTTCATATGTTTGTGTATTTATATATTTATGCAAATAACTGCATGTCTATTACATAATATCTTGTATCACTAATTATACGACTCTTCAAGTTGTATTATGAAGTGCCTCATAGCTCGTCAAAAACACTTTATATACACTATGTACACAAACATCAAGGAGTTTGCATCGTTAGAATTTCAGGAGTATGATTTATTCTGTAAGAGTCTGGGACAACACGGGATGTCTTGTGACAGGTCTGCTCTTCTATTCATTATCCTTTATACATGCATTGTGTTATTGTTGGGAGCTTGCTGACCATCCTTCAGGTGGTGTGGTACTCGGAGCCTTGTGCAGTAATGTATGGTCCTTGTAAGCTGGTCTGTTAGGTGCAGTATTTCATTGTTGGGCTGGCTGTGGCTTTGTTGGGCCTGGGCCTACTTCCTGAGCCTGGCCTCGGGCCGGGCTCGGGGAGTAGAAGTCCTCCCAGAACCCTCTGCAGGTATGCTCTGGGTATCCAATAACTATGATATAGCTGAACCACTAAACCTGCACAATGATACTCTCTGTCCAGTTTTGACTGTGTTCAATGTTATAGGCATTGAGCATTGTGATGATGATTCAGGTGGGAATTTTTTCATTACTAGTGCATGTATTCCATTGCCCAAAGCATCATGTTGCATTTGTCTATCGACCACATATTTATATTATGATCTAATTTAGCATCTGATTTGAAGACCTTTTCATTGGTCAAGAAAGAACTTGATAAACACTTCCAAAGGATACCTGATCAACCAGGCTGTGATTAATACGTCGGGCAGCGAGCAGCCGCGTCCAACAGCCTGGTTGAGCAGTTCAGCAACCAGCAGGGCTGGTAGAGGACCTGGCCAGGGAGACATTGAGCCCTGAAATCATCGCAAGGTAAGGTTAGTGGCTTCACTGTTGCACATGTTGCAGTATTGTGTTGAAGCAAGCAAGTGGACAGAGTGGAGTTGATTAGAATGGGCCTCTTGTTCATCACTGGTGCTATCAACGTCTTCATTACACTCTCAGAAACTTGTGTAGATTGTTCCTTTTCACCTGAACATCGGTGGCAGAATACAGGATCATTTCAGTGAGAAGTCCTGTCTGTCACAAAGGATGAATAATTCCTGACCCTATCTGTTTGAAGGAAGTTCTTCCCTAGAAAACACGAGTGACTCATTAATTACAACCTTCTGTGTTGGTACATAGAAGGATTTATATTTGTTGTTAAGGTCACTGAAGATGTGCCTCACTTTCCAAAGTTTACCTCTTTTTTTTTTTTTTTTTTTTTTTTTATCTTGTATATTGTTATCTTTGAAATGTATACATCTGAGGAGAAGCAGAAATCTATCTCGCGACATGAATTTACTGAATGGCAAGCCACAGAATACACATTTGACTTTAGAATGGTCCAGGATGGACCGAAATGTCGTCGTCCCTTCACTTTCTAGTGTGTGGTCTGGTCAACATATTTCAGCCACATTATTGTGACTCCTCGTCTGCTTACTGAATGGGGTTGGTGTGAGAGCGTCCTTGTTCTAGTTACAACATGTTGAGGGCACATGCTAAGAAGCATTGTTACAGCCAGGGGATGTAAACATTCCTGCCACATTAGTTTCCCCTTCCACCTGTTCATAAGTGACTGGAGGTGAATCCTTGGAATCAATCACAAGTGCAGCCCACCTTTTCAGCTCCTTCACAATGTGTTGCATCAATGCTGCACTGAAAAAAAAATGAGTTTAAACCTTTTGCTGCACAATACTTACATAGACGATGAAGTAACTATCACGATGAGCGCACATCATACGTAGGGGATTGAGGATCCTGCGCACGATTTAAACGTCCAGCCGCTACACAGGGTTCACATCAGCTTTTGGGGCCTAGTGAACAGATTCCATTTTTTTTTAAATTGTGGGCAACATTCTTGGGTGTGAGAGCATCAGTGCTGATTTGAGTCACCAAGGCTGGTGTACGCAACATGAGCTAACAGCACTGCTGTTTATCACCTTTAAATGTCAAAATATAAATGTAACTGTTATTATTTATCGATGATAGTATTACAGGAGACCCCTGACTGTGATAAAAATGACCAGGATTCTGATAATAGTTTTCTGATTCTCCGACCGACTCGGAGCCGGTCTGCCGAGCAGACAGCACGCTGGACTTGTAATCCTGTGGTCCTGGGTTCGATCCCAGGCGCCGGTGAGAAACAATGGGCAGAGTTTTTTTCACCCTATGCCCCTGTTACCTAGCAGTAAAATAGGTACATGGGTGTTAGTCAGCTGTCACGGGCTGCTTCCTGGGGGTGGAGGCCTGGTCGAGGACCGGGCCGCGGGGACACTAAAGAGCCCCGAAATCATCTCAAGATAATCTCAACATAATCTCAAGATAATCAAGGATTGTGGATATAATTAGCACTGTGCGTAGTATGGTGGGAGGAGGAATCTTAGTGTGGGAGGGAGGGAGGTAGGTAGGTAGAGTTGTCTGCTAACTCTGTGTTGCCACTTGTTATTGTCTGGACTAACCATATCTGCTTTGTGGTTTACTATGATGAACATAAATGTAGATACTTTATATATAACGTGTGTAATAACAGCAAAAGGAATATGTTGGGAGGAGCCATTTTGGTGAGGGTGGTGGTGTTGTCTGGGAGCTGATGTCACTAGTCGAGCAGTTTGTTGTGGCCACTATGTTGTTTGGACACCATACTAGCTTACTTGTACAGTTTTGGTGCATAAAACATGTAGCTACTTATTTTTACACTATATACACACATTATATATCACAAACAGTATAGTGGGAGTAGGAATGTTGGCGAGTGAGGGAAGGAGCGTCGGCTGACACGGTGATGACCTCAATTATTGTCTTGACTCGCCATACCAGTTTAGTTGTACAGTTGGTTTACACATTTTATGTAAATATATCACACTACACACTATTGAATAATATTTCTGCAAAAAAACAAACAAACAAATGCACACATTGAAATAATTAGATAATATCTTTGTGGCAACTCCCGCCTGTCAGCGTGGGAGTTGCCACCGCCGACCACCAAAGGACGCCTAGTCTGTCAAAGTCTCAAATGTGCCAGACTTCCTGCCCTATTGCAGCCAAAATATGTTGCCTGTGATTTTTTTTATTATTGTTCTCGTAATCAAATGAACAGTTTTGTTTAGATTATTTTTTTTAATTTTGTTATTTATTACGCACAGCGGTGTTGACGGCTATTAATAGCAGAGCAGCAGAGGGGCTAATTTGCACATTTTGTCATAAGAAGCAAAGCAATTGTTGACACCAGTGTTGGAGTGACACAGTTCGAGCATATGTAGTTGAGAGGTTGTCACCATAACTCGACAGTGTGATTAGTGCCAGCATCTGTTGTGTGTTCTGCCCACCCGTGAATACCTGTACTCGATCTAGCAGCAGAACCAAGAACTATAGTGTTGGTTTCACAAATGCTATGGCCACGAACACATGAACCTATTGGAAATTGCACAATAGTTCTTGACACACAATTCACAATAGGTCCTGCACAACACACCATGAACTTTGGAAGAAGGTTGTGGTGGTGGTGGTGTGGCGGCACTTTCCTCATTCTTTGTTCTAAACCTATCAACCCCTCCCTCTCCTCCTCTTCCCTCTCCTCCCCCCCTCCCTCTCCTCCTCTTCCCTCTCCTCCCCCCCTCCCTCTCCTCCTCTTCCCTCTCCTCCCCCCCCTCCCTCTCCTCCTCTTCCCTCTCCTCCCCCCCTCCCTCTCCTCCTCTTCACTCTCCTCCCCCCCTCCCTCTCCTCCTCTTCCCTCTCCTCCCCCCCTCCCTCTCCTCCTCTTTCCTCTCCTCCCTCTCCTCCTCCTCCTCCTCCCTCTCCTCCTCCTCCCTCCTCCTCCCTCTCCCTCTCCTCCTCCTCCCTCTCCTCCTCCTCCCTCTCCTCCTCCTCCCTCTCCTCCTCCTCCCTCTCCCTCTCCTCCTCCCTCTCCCTCTCCTCCTCCCTCTCCCTCTCCTCCTCCCTCTCCCTCTCCTCCCTCCTCTCCCCCTCCTCCTCCCTCTCCCCTCCCCTCCCCCTCCCCCTCCCTCTCCCCCTCCCCCTCCACTCTCCTCCTCCCTCTCCACCTCCTCCTCCCTCTCCACCTCCTCCTCCCTCTCCTCCTCCTCCTCCCTCTCTCCTCCTCCTCCTCCCTCTCCTCTCCTCCCTCCCTCCTCCCTCTCCTCCTCCCTCCCTCTCCTCCTCCTCCTCCCCCTCTCCTCCTCCCTCTACCTCTCCTCCTCCTCCCTCTCCCTCTCCTCCTCCTCCTCCCTCCCCTCTCCTCCTCCCTCTCCCCTCTCCTCCTCCTCCTCCTCCCCCTCCCTCTCCCTCTCCCTCTCCTCCTCCCTCTCCCCTCTCCCTCTCCTCCTCCTCCCTCTCCCCCTCCTCCCTCTCCCTCTTCCTCTCCTCCCTCTCCCTCTCCTCCTCCCTCTCCCTCTCCCCCTCCTCCTCCCTCTCCCTCTCCTCCTCCTCCTCCCTCTCCC